CTCAAGTGTGATTTGTGTTTAGTATGTGACTTGCTCACATATTGTTGTATGTTGGGATCTGCATGGTGACATATATCTGTGTATGATTGCATTAAATATTTTATTTGATATATGCTCTATGGTTTTTTGATAGGGGAGTTTTCCCTAGTTTGTTTATACTCACCGTACTTATATGCGGGTGGAGCTTTTGCTCTTTCTTCTTGTTATTTCTCTCATTTTGATGTTGACAAAGAGGGAGAAACAAGTGTATTGTGAGTATCTCGGTTCTTTACTTACTATTGGCATCATGCATGAGGATTATAAATTGTATATTCATTTGGTATCATGCATGTTTCCTATACTCATTGTGTAGATTGTTTGATCATGCATGTTTCCTATACTCATTGTGTAGATTGTTTGATCATGCATGTTTCCTATACTCATTGTGTAGATTGTTATCACAAAAAGGGGGAGATTGTTAAGTCTCATGTTTATGAACCTATTGTCTAATCTAGCTTTGATGATTAACATGAGGATTATAAATTGTATATTCATTTGGTATCATGCATGTTTCCTATACTCATTGTGTAGATTGTTTGATCATGCATGTTTCCTATACTCATTGTGTAGATTGTTTGATCATGCATGTTTCCTATACTCATTGTGTAGATTGTTATCACAAAAAGGGGGAGATTGTTAAGTCTCATGTTTATGAACCTATTGTCTAATCTAGCTTTGATGATTAACAAATAATTCCTAACATCGCTTTTCGAGTATTTGCATTTGCTTGTTAGGTATCTTACACAAACATCCTCTGTTGGAGCCTTGGTGGTTGGGTGGAATTGCACTTAACGATGACATCCTGTTGGAGGTTAGTTGGAATTGAGCGCTAACAATGATATTCATGGAGGTTGGCGAAAATTGAAATGAAATCATCGCAATTCAAGTCAAATACGAGATCGTGCTTCATCTTTACTACCAAGCTGAGGATCGTCCAACATCGAGCTTAAATGAAGAATTTTGGCTTGGGTATATTGTTTCTAGTTTAGGTCTTTTACTTTATGTGTTTATATTTAAAGCTCAAACAACACACATACATGTTTCGTTTTATCGCTTTCAAGCTTAGCCATATAAATATGAAACAAATAGATACATTAATATACATGCACATTTGTTTATATTTATCGTATTGGAAAGATAAGTTGTTTAAAATAATTTCATCAGAATCATGTGTTTAACGATTTCGTATCTTTGTTGATTCTGTAAATAGATGAAATCATATTTAAAAATTTCGTATCTTTTGATAAAATTGCAAAATAATGAGTTTTCACAATTGGGGAGTGATATTTTAAAAAAAAATCTTTTCTAACGTGTTTATTTTCACAAGTATAAACGTTTCTCCATGTTTTACTATTTTTGGAGTTATTTCACTATTTTAAATAGAATTTAGAAATCAACTCTTCAAAAGTCAAAAAAAACTGTGCCGGTTTTCAGTCGACCGACTACCTTAATCAGTCGACCGATAGCTTTCAGTCGACCTATTTTGTTTCTCAATCGACTTGTCAGAACAAGATTTTACAGCATTTCTTTTTACAGTCTATCAGTTGACCGACCATTTGAGTTAGTCGACCGAACCGTGTTTTCAGTCGACTGATTTTTCTTTTCAGTCGACCGAGTCATGGCTATCTGTTTTCTTTACAGTAACGGCTAGTTTATCAGTCGACCGATACATTCAACCAGTCGACTGATCAATCATTTTTGCTGTAACAGCTAGTTTTTGGCAGTTTTGATTGAGACTATAAATAGCCCCCAAGACTTAGTTTTTCACCAATGAGTTTTATAAGTTTGTTTTGGCCATTTTTGGTCTGAGTTTTTGAGAAAGTTTAATTGGGTTTATGTGAAAAAGAGTTTTACAAAGAGAATGATCTTAATTTCGGTTTTGAGGCGTTCAACCTCAAATCTCTATATCTACATCTCTTTGTTTTTGAGAAGTTTTCTAAACTCATTCTCTAGCTAATCTATATTTTGATTATCATATATAAGCTAGATTTAATTGAGTTTGATTTTATTTTACTAATCTATATTTTGATTATCATATATAAGCTAGATTTAATTGAGTTTGATTTTATTTTACTCATTGTTTACACACACAACCATATATAAGCTAGATTTAATTGAGTTTGATTTTATTTTACTCATTGTTTACACACACAACCACTTGAGATTTAGTATTTCACATATTATATATTTAGGTTGTGAGGTTGTTTCATTGAGTGGGCTTACAAATTCGTTCTCACTTGTTTAGAGAACAAAATCTTTATTTGAACTTATGGTTAGAACACGTAATACATAAGGACACTTAGAGGAGTGGTTGGGAGAGAGACCGGAGTTAATTCCAAGATGAGTGGGTTGGTAGTAAGCCTAGGAAGAGGTTATAAATCTGAACACTTGAGGAAGGTAACACGGGTAGTCCAACACTTAGAGGAGTGTGACTTGTGTGATTGACAATGTGTGTATTGTAAAAGTTTTCGGTGATATTTGGAAACCATTTTTGTGTAGTTGTTTTTGAGTGATAGTGGAGATATCCTCAAGGTGAGGAGCAGAGACGTAGGTCGAGTGTTAGACCGAACTCCGTGATCATATCGTATGTTTGCAATTGTTTCTTTGGCGCACTATTTCTATTATATTTTGTGCTTGTTGTTCATATCGCCTATTGTCTCTTGCTTATCCTTGCATATCTTATTGTATATCATATTGCTAGGATATTGCATTATAAGTTTTTAATTTGGCATCGAAATCGGATTAGATTAGCAATTACCCTACTCAACCCCCCCCCC